ACAAACCGTAATTCATCACACCCGATTATAAACAAGTTTTTCAACCACAATTACGCGTCAGTGTTATATCAGTGTATAAGTGACTCTGCACACACAAACGAAGCATTTATGTAATAGAAAGAAAAATGGTATTGCTTATATTATGGTATTGCTGATATGGCATATAATGATATCCAACAACTGATATTAAGTATGAAAAAGTTTGAGTATGACAGAACAACATCATTTCGCTAACGAAAAAGATTAATTTTTAAGCAGAAAAAAGCGATCCTATTTTGGATACAATGAACCAACTGTACAGTTGGTTCATTAGTATAACATAGAATTTTTTTGTGTATACACTGGAATGTCCTTGTACACGTTTTCTATGTCTTTGTAGTATTTTCTATCATTAATTTAAAATATAAACTAGAGGAATATTACACAACAATTCATCCATCTCTCACACTGTAAAAGACAAACCGAAAATGCTCTTGCTGAACGACCAGAAGTACAGGATAAGTAAAAACGAGTTCAGGGAAAATAACTTGGGACATCAAGGCTTTCCTAGTAGGTTCCAATTTATATGTGAAAATTTCAGAAAGTGATGTTGAAGTGTATCCTTGTAAGATACACCGCTGGATAGAGCTTGTGGAGTTCTGTCTGATGGACTATTTATCTCGTTTAGCACAACTTTCAGAATATCTTATTTTTCGTGCTTGTTATCCGTAATTCCTTATATCATTTACCATGTCTTTTTCTGCGACGTCCAGACGTCATCACCGCGTCGAAAAGTGGACTTTGCCAAAACTTTTTTCGGCCTTGTTTACTCGTCCGATGCTAAAAACAGACTCTACCTTTTTAGCTGTCTTTTGTTTACTTCGTTGATGAAAATTTCGATGATTTTCAACGTGAAATTTCGGCAGAAACTAAACTTAGTTAAAATAAAATACAGATTCTAACAGAGACAAAAGAAATAACAGAATAAAAGTAAATTCTAATAAGCACTAGAGAAGAATGAGAGATATGGTTAATTACTCACCTTATAGTCCTTTCTAGAATTTACTTTTATTCTGGTATTTTTTTTCTGTCCCTGTTAATATCGTCCTGTGTTTTCCTTTTTATGTACGAATTTCATGTAAAAATAACATCTATCCGTATAGCTCTTTCTACATTTTTCTGTTGATGAACTTAACAGGTTTAGTTACACGCTTCGAAACCTTAAAAATGAAGAAGCTGATTCCGAATATCATAATGGTTTTTGCGTATGGGCTTCTCGAGATCCCGGTTTTTGAAAAACCAGGTTTCCAGAAACTTTCCGTGTCAACTTCCTTGTTATAAGCCTGAATGTTTGGCGGTGAAAAGATCTTTCTAAGATTTATGAAATCTTTTTGGGGCACCATATAAGAGATAAATAGAAATCGAATGCCGTTTCTGAATTTAATTTTCATACATTCTTTTCTGTTCTTGCTAGAGACGGGGAATCAAATAACAAAAGAGAACCAGAAAAATACGTACGTAGTTTCGTACAAAAAGAAAAGGGAAGTAGCTAGCTATAAGGGAAGAACCAAAAATAGAGGAAAAATTAATAATGTAGCAATTTATCAAGAGAAATCTACTCGTCGTGCGAATCCACCTCCACGTCCTGTACGAATATTTCGTCCTCTTCCACGCGAGGATGAAAATGATGATGTTGTTGTTATTTCGGGTTCTTTCTTTGTACATTCGGCACATGTCAGTTGATCTATTTCTTCTGTTGATGATTTTGCAGTCCAGATTAGATGTTTGCCTATTCAAGAAGAAAAAAGGAAAATAAAGCAGAAACCCAATTTGAGGTCAAGAATGTATTATTCTTCCTTAATGGATAGTATAAAATCGTCGGAAAAACGTTTTAGAAAAAGTATTTTACCAACCGAAAAGCTAAAAGAAAGAGCATTATTTCGCTTAAAAAGGGGCTTTTCTTATGAAAACTCGCCATTTTCGCCCTTTTCTGTTTGACATTTTTGCTTTAAAAATAATTTATGCTTTTCTGCGGACAACAGATATTGTGACTTTTGGGATTAGATCAAATCACGCAAAAAATGCTTTCCATTAAATTTTCTCTGGATTTCTTGTGATTATCGAACGTTAGATCAGTCTAGCTATTCTTTTAGCCATCTTTTCATATAAACACTTAAAATATTAGCAGTTTTCTGAACTAGTAAAGAAATTACAACATCCATACTTCACGGATTTCCGAGAGGTTTACAGATCTCTAACGAGGGAATCTGTCCAGGTGATGAAACGCTTTTTGATCGAAACCTAGTGGGTTATAGGTTATCGACCGTGCTAAATCCGAATATCAACATAAGACAGGCTCTTAGACCTTGAAAGACCAGTTATAGATTTTACAAGAAAAGCTAAATTCGTTTTTCTTCTATATCTCTGAACTGACAATGAACATTCAGGGCTTTTCTCGTAAATCCTATAACTTTACAAAGAAAGGTTGTGCAGAGCTGGGGGATGCCTCATTTTAATCAGAACTTCGCAGGTATAACTTATGAGGGAACTGCCCCAAGTGTCCGCTCGCTTTTCCTTGAAACCTGGCGGAGAATAGGTTATCGACTATGCTGATTCCGAATATGACAATGGTTTTTGCTGCTAGGCCTTCGAAGACCTGGTTTTCTAGAAAACCAGTTTTTCAGAAACCCCAAAAAATAACTCGAACCTTTCTTAATGAGACATGATTGTAGCCCGCACATTTCTGATTAAAATGAGACCTCTCCCAACTCTACATGACCTTTCTTTGCAAAGTTATAGAATTTACAACAAAAGCCCTAAATGTTCATTGTCAGCTAAAAGCTACAGAAATAAGAAGAAATTAATTTAGGGCTCTTCGTGTAAATTCTATAACTTTGCAAAGAAAGGTCATGTAAGGCTGGGAGAGGGCTCATTTTAATCAGAAATGTGCGGGCTACAATCACGCCTCATTAAGAAAGGTTCGGGTTATTTTTTGGGGTTTCTGAAAAACTGGTTTTCTAGAAAACCAAATCTCCGAAGGTCTAGCAGCAAAAACCATTGTCATATTCAGAATCAGCATAGTCGACAACCTATTCTCCACTAGGTTTCAAGAAAAAAGTGAGCGGACACTGGGGGCAGTTCCCTCGTTAGTAAGAAAAGTTTTGGAGATTTTCTGGAGTTTCTGGACAACTGGTTTTCTAGAAAACCGGAAGATCTAAGGACCCATCCCATGTTAATATTCGGATTCAGCACGGTCGATAATCTATAACCCACTAGATTTGGATCAAAAAACGTTTTATCACCTCGAGAGGTTCCCGCGTAAGTAGCTAGCGATGTCTCTTTCTCTTCGTGTTGGAACATGAAATCGATTGGTACAACTGAAATGTTCTGATATTGCGTATCTATACATAATATTCACATTGTTATTTTTTATAAGGTGTCAGAAATTCAGAGTGTGAGTAAGTTTTTCTTCCCCATTTATTTATACGTGACTGGGTGGAGCGCATCGAGAAAAAACAGCGAAACGTATTTTTACAACTCGTTCAATGGCTAGTCTAATGGAGTACAAAATCGGTTTCATCTCTTCACACAAAAATCTAAATAGGTTTCCAAATTTGTTTAGGAACTGGAAACCGTCCATACAAAAAATACTTTCGAATTTAAGAATAAAAAAGAAAAACAGTTTGAACGTTTTTGAAACTGAAGGCTTTTTCGAAATTGTATAGTTTTTCTTGCTTAAAAAATTATTTTAAAAATTCAAAACCACTTTTTCTTACTCAACTTGATGCACTCTATCCAACGATGTATAAATAAATGGGACAAAAAAGTTACTCGCACTTTGAATTTTCACCATCTTACCTTTTGGACAAATAATCCATTTTTGATCACACGTTTGTCTATCTTTTTCAAAATCATTCATTGTTTTACAATATATAAATAATGATGTCCATTCTAATTTTGTACTACTCATTAAATTATTATTATGTAATAATTCAATACATATTTGATAATTATCTTTATTAAATTGAATACCTTGAGTTTCAATTATTGTTGATAATACATTAATTGTATCATTTTTATTGTTATTTTCATTATCATATTTAAAATATTCTAATTCAGCTAAATATCTGATATCTTTTAATTGTGATAAAAATAATAAACGATTATATTCACTTTCTAAATCTAACCATTGTTGTTTTGTTAACCATACACTTTTTTTTCGTTCAATAATACTAAATAAACTTTTTAAACATTTATTAACTTCTTGTTTAACATTATCGGGTAATGTGTTATAGAGTGTACACATATGAAGAAATTGTTTATAATAAATTTTTCGTCTATGATTATCATGATTAACTGTTAATAATACTCTAATATCAGTTGGTAAACATTCAGTTTCCTTAATATTATCTCGAATAATTAATCGATCAGTGATTGTCGTCGATTCAAAAGACGGTAATGCTGTACGTATTAACAAATGTATACGTTTTATAAGTGATACATATCGTTTTACACGCACAATTGGATAAGAACATTGTGGACATCGTGGATAATCAATAATAAAAAAACCATTTGGTAAAAAATGTCTAATTTTTTTAAAAAATAACGAAGATATAAGTTTCATTATTAACAAGTAATGCTCACATGCTTACATAGCTCATACCACTATGGAATATGATAGAGGTCTAGAGATACGGATAAGCACGGGAAAACTCAATTAATGTTAAATTTTGTCTTGAATAAAAATGTTTCCTCACACTGACATACTTTATAAAAATCTTCATCTTTCTTACGTTCTTCTCCTCTAAAAGCCATCAATAATCCCCAAAATCCACTTTCGCTCAAATATACGCCAAGATCATTAAAAAAAGTTCCTCTCAAGTAACTTTATTCAAAGATCTTAACTTACGCAGTCCTTGTTCATTTGCAAATAACCAGAATCTCACTTCTCATCCAACAATTCTTAGAAAATACTCGATCGAGACCTCTCGGCGTAGGGAGTCTGACTGACCGATGCAGTTTGAGTTGCTCACGATCACGATTTTTCTCGTCAGATAGAAAAAGTCGGAACGCTCTGAACACATGTCTGATATCTTCAACACTTTTTCTTCTAAAGTTCGAGGTTGAAGAAAAAACTGTTCTAATATTGTGAAACAGATTGCACAGTGTTCCATAAAGACATTTTATTTTTCTATACCTTCTTAAAAATCTAGACAATTCAAATAAAGACTTCGTTCCAAGTAGGATTGTGCGTTCGTATTTCAGTTTCTTGAATACAGGTAAGAGAAATAAACGTACAGTATTTTTACCGATATAAGCCTTGGATCTAGTCTCCTTTATAGTTACTGAACAACATTCACTCTTACGATCATAAACAAGCAGAAAAAAGATTCTGCTGGTAGCTTGCAGCTACCTGACCCGTCAAAGCTAGCTGATGCGTTTGAATTGGGCGTTAATCGATCAATTAAGCACCCACTGAATCATTCGCTTGACGCTAGTAAGTGGGCACATCGCAGTGGGCTATCCGGCGAATATTAGGCGAAAAAACGAAAGTGAGCTTTTTCAAGTTTCGAATAGCAGGTCATATACTTCAGCTTAAACTCTATTTAAATGACGTTGGAAGAACTTTTCCAAGTGGCATAGTTAGTGAGAAAATTGACGCGAAAGTTTTTGTTGAAAACAGATGATGAAGAGAGAAAAAGTATTTTGGGCGAAACAGAATACGATAATTATAAAAATCATACACAGTTTGAACTAGACCTTTCACTCTACCTGTTCGTAAAGTTGTTTTTTATGAGACGCTCTGGAACCCGAAAAATAATTTCACTTTTAGTACTACGTGTTTTCCGAAGAGCGGATTTTAGTATATTAGGGTTTCCATTTTTTACGAAGCTCCAAATCGAACTCCAACTGTCATACAATATTCTTCTACTAGCAATCCATCTATGCTGTTAGCGCAAGTATTTCTGGACCGAGTTATGCAACAATAGCGCCAGTAAAACCATAAAAATCGGTCTACAAAACTTAGTCAAACTAAATCAGTATGTTTAACAAAAATTCATTGTGACTGTATGACAAACCCATTGATCAACTATTTGGGTACCAGTAAAAACTGATCCAGCAAACCAGCATACATACTGGTACATATCTATTCTCAGGGAAGCCAGTTTTCTCTCTATCCTGTAAGAGCCTAGTCGGAAATAGACAGGAAGTGCGTGCGTAGGAAATTTGTCTAGGGATGGTATAATAAATTAACAGTTAATTCAGTCTATAGCAGAAAAAAAATGAAAAAAAAATGTCTTTCGCTGTTATACTTACTGTTGTTTAAAAGTCTCAACATGTTGATCAATTTCTTCCGTTAATATAATATGATGACATTCTAATTCAACAAATGTTGCAGTACGAATATTATTTTTTGCCAAATGTTTTGTCACCGAATGTGGTAAATCTTGTCTATTACAAATTAAACATTGTAAACAAGGTTCTCCGCATATACCATTACAATAATGTCCACATGGAAATTTTCGTCCACATTTGAGATCGCATTTATCACGATCACATAAATCATAACAACGTCGACTACATCGACTATGTTTACATTTTGACAAACAATAACGATTACATTCATGAATATCACATTGTAACGAACGTGTACGCTCTGGTGGTATATCCGTATGATCACATAATTTAAAATAACGTTCCATACATTTTCCGAAAAGTTCACCACATGGAGTTTTTTCTGAATGACCTATAATATTAATAAATAAGAAAAGTGTGAAAAAAATAAATTTACTAACAAAGTAAAAATGAAACTATACCACAAAAATAGACAACAATTTGTTCCTGATTGCATGGCTGATGTAATCGTCCCGATAAACATGTACTACACGTACCACAACATTTGTGTCCACAGGCCTAAACAATGAAGAAAAAACAAAATCGTATTCATTTGTCATAATTCAAAAAAATGAACATACTAAAATTGAATCACATGGATGATTACACAATTGATCATGTTCATTTAATCGCAAATCACAACATCGTACATAAACTGTATGTCCATTTGTACATGTATATTGTACTTGTATTGCACATTCTATTTTATTTGCTTTTTTCATAAAACATGGTAAATTACATGTGTGTTCACAATTTACCATTTTAAATGGTATTTCTTCTGTACATGGTGGACACAGATGTTTTGATTCATCATTATTATTTATTGAATAATGACATGTTTTTTGACAATGATGTTGACAATCATCATATGATTTTAAACATAATTTTTTACATATAATATCATCATGTTTAATACCATCAGCGTGACATGTATATGGACAAATATGTCCACATTGTAAGCGTGTTTCACATTTTAAATTACAACCACCTAATTTTCGTTGACTAAAATCACCAGGACGAATACATACTGCTGCATTATTGACATGATTCGGACAATAAACCGGTACACCTAGACAAGTGTTAATATTGATAAGTGCAAATATAGCTGTCAGAATATCGGGGTATCAAAAACCCTCTGCTCGAATATAGTAAACTTTGACCAATAATGGCGAAATTCCAACCTGAGTTTTGCCATATGTAGTCATTTGTATTGAAAAATAAGATCGGGATCAGTCGACTAAAGAATGTTACTCATTCACAAGAAAACGGTTTACAAAAATTCTGATCTCCACAGGCTATTAGAAAAATGTCCAGTGCGCTGTGTAACATTTAAGATCTCCCCAAGCACGAAAAATATCGTGAAGTAGACGCTTGCAGCTACCTGACCCGTTGTTTAATTCATCAAAGCTAGCTAAGTGAGTTGAAGCTAACGATTCCTTTTGAACTGGATGTTAATGGCTCAGCGAAGCGCCCACTGGATCACCCGCTTGGAGCTAGCAAGTGAGCATTTTCTTGGCGCAGCTGGCTATTTGATTCAAAAGATCTACTCTTAAGAGGATGCCTGAGCTATTTTATAAGCTAGATTCCCCTGCTTGCTCTCTTTTGGTTGGGCCCATTCGTGCAAAACTGATTTTGTGTTTTTCGTGTGTTTGTTTAGTTTAGAATTCTATAATGCAATATTTTCTCGCTTGTCTTCTGATAGAATAAAGCTTATATCAACGTGTAAGATAAACGATGTGTGTGTAATGTATAAGAGTCTGAGATAAAAGAATGACGTAACTTAGCCCATTTCATGTATTTCAACATCCATCCATTTTCTCCCCATTAGGCTATGTACTAAGTGATGCCTTTGCATGTAGGCGATGAATGAAATGTTGAAATGGATGGTGAGTTGAAGAGATTGCAAAAAGGAAGAATAAACATGTATAGAAGATATGTCAACTCGCTCTCTGTATTAAGCTAAAGGCAATCTTTGTTACACCTTACACGGATATTTTGACAGACCATCTTATTCTTGAACCATTGGGGCTTTAAAATAAATAGTCGCTTTGATCCGTTTTTTCGTTCTAATTTCAATAGGGACAACTGCAGCACCGTTATCACGTCAAAGGGTCAAAAGCGTATAGGACAAACTTTACTTAAAACGGAAGTCAACTTATAAAAATGTTAGATATATCATTTTTTAATGAAGGTCAACTCTGTGCTAAATTAGATCAGCAAAAGAACTTTTAAGCCTCGTTTTTCCCCAGTGTTTCTTAATACGGCAGTCAGTTTCACGCAGTCATACGAAAAGAAGCTTTGCGACTGAAAACAATGTTTTTGAAAATTTTCGCGGATTTTCCATTTTGCTTATGGTTTAAGACGAAAACGATCAATTTCGTTTCATAGACTTTGTAGCTTTATATTTTTAGCTGATACTTAGAAATGCTTTCTTGTGATGAAAATGAAACCGCTTATGTTGAGAGAATTGAAGAAAAGCACATCTTTTCATTGATTGCGTACACTCTATTCAAAAACATACCGTTTCCAAGTAAATTAGATTCACGAATTTGTTGAATAATTTGTTTCCATGTATTATTAGCTTCAGCTAACATTGTGAAATTGCCAATAACATATAAACCATTTTGAGCACGAGATAATGCTACACATATACGATTTTTAATTGCCAAATATCCAATTTTCTTTTCTTTATTACTACGGACCAATGATAACAAAATAATACAATTTTCTTCACCTAAAACATTAAAAAGATATTTAATTTCTAATAATGAGCAGATGGATCGACGATGCCAGTTGATAAATTGCTCATATCTAAGTTAAGACCTCCCGTCCTGTCAGAAATACGAAATTGTTGTAAAAGCGTTGATATTGAACTAAGCACATTATTCGATAGTCCAAGATATCTGCTGTCGGAAGCCATGTCAGTAAGATCTTCATTAAAGATTTCTGCAGGTAGTTTTCCGGAAGAGCTGAAAAATGACTTTTTGACCAACTGTATATTATCAATACAAATCAAGAGAAAAGGTGGTAACTAGATTGTAGAGCGCAAATTCTAATCAAAATGAGACACCTCCCAACTCCAGACAATGTTTCAAAACCAAAAGTTATAATAATTTTAAATAGACACCCTAAATATGCAACGTACTCTAGCGCCACTTTATGTCAAAAGCGAATTTCAGGTTCACAGAGCTTCGTAACTGCAGGATTTCCACATAACGGAGCAACGTAAAGCGCTCGAATTGGTCTTAAAATGAAGCTGGATAGCATGAAGCTGGATAGCATATGTGGCTGGAGACTAAAAGAGCCGGATTTTTTAACTTAAACACGAATTCATGGAGAGTGACGTGTTGCAGCATCGAAAAAAAGGTCTACGCCTTATCAGATGATTACAATCATTCTATCTAAGAGACGCAAAGATTCAGCATCCTTGAGAACAAATAGTGACAGGATCTTCTGACTACACCTGTGACAGTCCGCGGTTCCCGTTCGCGTTCAGTGAACGAGAACAGGTTTTCAGTTTCCGTTCCTGAGCTAGGAACGGCTCAGCAGTTCACCTTTCTAGAAACGAGAAACGGTGCATCAGACCCAGTTCGCGAACGAGAACTGCAGTTCTTTTTAGCTGTATAATATACTTAAGCTTCTTTTTCTAATCTATTAGCGTTGTATCTCGTTTAGCATGTTAGTGGATTTTACGGGTCAATATGAATACGGCGGTTTATTTGATGTCGTTCCTTTACGTGCTTGTTTCTGAGTAAAGTTTTACAGAGATGCTAACAATCAAAATAATAAAAACTACCAACATTCATACTTTGTCTTTCAAAAACATAGACGTTTTCGTTGTTGCTGAAGTTAGTCGTAGTCGACTTTTTCTTGTAGAATTATTAGTTTCCGAAAATGTACTTTCGCGAGCTATACTTATACCTGGTAGATCAAGATCTTAAGAAGTAACGAACTAAATTCAATCAGCAAAGTCTACCAGCTAATCTGAAAGTCAAACAGTTCTCGTTAACGAGAAACTGCAGTACAAGGAACTATGAACTGTCACAGGCCTATTCTAGACTTGTTAAAAACATCTGTCGTCTAACAGAGCACTGATTTGAAACACTGAAATGCTTAAATTTAAGCGAAGATTAAGCTGTACACATGTGAAAAATCCCAGAAAATAAAATAGAAAATAATAAATATTCAGTAGGTACAGAAACATAAAAGAGCACGGCGAATTATGACTGAATTCGCAGGGTAAAGAATAAGAATTTATCTGATTTAGAAAGAAGAACCATACCTTGATAATTGTCAATCGTTGTAACAGAAATTCCTTTCAATGTTGAATGTTGTTGTACAATTTTTTTTTGTATTAAATGTCGCTGTCCTAAATATGTTGTCAGAATTGTTATTTGATTTGTTTTATAACCTTGATTAATTAAATATTGTGAAAAACTTAATAAATAATCGACTTCAAATGTATTTCGTTTTGATTGACCATCAGCTACAGATTCTTCAAAATGATTATGATCAATAAAATATAATGGATATGTAACACCATTAATTGAAGGACGATTTAACACTGTTTCATGATTAATTAAAGCATTATCATAAAAATGTTTCATTAATATAGATATTGTTGGAATTGAACGATGTTGTACTTGTAACTGTTTTGATGGTAATTTATTTTTAATTAAACGTTCAAATAATGATACATCTAAATCATAATTTTTTGCTAATAAGTAAACATTATTTTGTGGACGAAGTTGATTTTGATCACCAATTAATATTAAATGTTCACACTGTGAACCAATTGATGTAACAATATGTGATTCAAATACCTGAACAAAAAAACAAAATAAATTTCTTTCTAAAGAAGATGCGACGGTATGAATAATTTTTTTGACGCGTTATTTTTCAAAAAAAAAATTTTGTAGAAATAATTGACATTAGATTCGGATAAAACTGTTGGATTTTTTTTCTGAAAAAAGCGAAAATAGGAAAAATTGTGACAAACTCGCTGAGTTTCTTTTTATTTAATTTTCACATTTAGAGATCAGTCGATTTCGAAATATTTTTATTAGCAATCGAACAAATATTTCTCTGAGTGATAGAATCAAGAAGGAACATAAACTTTCAGCTCAATCAGAATAACGTCAGATGAGACGCAGAATGGAGACGAAAAAAAGGACTTTACTGCGCAATATTTAATTAATCAAGGTTATATAATTTTTATTACGACAGAAAAATGACTAAAGATGTGTTTAACGCACCAAGATAGGTGGAAATCATGACATCGGCCAAGTATTTCGGCTATTGACCCATGTGGACATATTTTCGAAAGACGTATTTATAGCTGATTTTGAAGCCCGAAAAATTCTCTATCTTTTCATATATAAAACATTCCGGTTCTGAGTAGATCAATTCAAGAAATATTCCTTTAAAATGTTAAGATAGATGAAAATGATGATATCTGTCTAGTATTTCGACAATTGTCCTGTATGGGCATATTTTTGACAACGTCGTTTATTTTGAAGCCTAGAAAATTCTCTGTGTTATTATGTATGAGCTTTGCTCAAGGACTTTGAAATAGGACGATACATTTGCGAAAAAATGTAAATGACTTTTGTTGAACTGGTGGTGAAAAATGAAAAGTAATTTTTGTTTGAAAAACAGCAGAATGAATTTTTGAGAGTGGGAAGTGAAAAGGGAAGTATTTCCGATTTTCACTCAAAATCATGTTGGGCCATTTTCTAGCAGAAACCGTTCCCCGTCCTTTCGAAGAGTGGGGAGACGTAGTTCCACCTTTCTGCTGTAGTCCAAACGTAAAAAAACACAGTTTTTAGATGATACATGAAGATTACAAACATAGCGTATTCTCGATTTCGTTCTGGTTCAAGATTGAAGCTTAAACCAACTAGTGGTTTCCCTTTGCACAATTTAGTGCAATGGGAAAATACGTAGTTGGAAAAGTGGAACGTATGAAAGATCGACAGATCGAATCTAGGAGAATAAACTCAAAAGTTGTTCTAATCAAAAAATCACAATATGTCAAAAAAAACATTTTGCTCATATTGTGCTAGAAAAGGATTTAAGACTGTATGCTTTTGCACGATATGTTACAATGTCAGAAGAAAAGTCGATGCAGTTTTTCGGACATCAGAAAACATATGAATGACTTTTTCAGAGGTGCAGAATCCGTCGCTAAAATGAAACATCCCCCCTCCCCCCAAGGGTGGAGTTTTTGGAAAAATTTTCCCGGCTTGAAAAATCAAAAAAGAAGGCTTCTCTGTTTAGAGTGATTCTTCTTCGCATGGGAGAAAATTAATTTTTCCCAAAATAGTTTTCTATACTCCGTAATTTTTCAAAAGTTTCCCAAGGCCCAAAAAATTTCCCCAATCTGCCTTCACCGCACGCGAGTAGATTCTGCACCTCTGGATTTTTTAGAAAATACAATGCAAAGCATAGTTGCATATGGGCATAGAATATTCTTCATCTGTCTGAAAAATCAGCTTTAAATAAACTTACCTCTGCCGCTTCTTCAACCATAATAATATGTGATTGAATTTGTTTCAAAACTTTTTGATATCTGGCAGCACAATGTGTCGTCATAGCTACAATAAACGCGTTTTTCATATAATGATAATCACTTTGTAACCATAAATCTTGCATTACTTCCAACGTTTTACCATATTGTATCATTAATGTTAACCATTGATCTACAACAAATAATATTTGATTAGTTATTATGTTGTGATTAACGTATCAAATCTCATTAAAAAATCTGTTCGGGGCTAACATGGTGAAACTCCTTTGCAAGTCTTTCACTTTTAATAACTAAAGCATTGCTGTGCTATATTAATATTGTAATATAGTGAGATGGTGCGGGACTTTTATCTGTTTTCATAACCTTTTTAAGATGAATACACTACCATTGTAGGATGGATACTCTTCCGTTCCACGATGAATACACCGCACTTGTCAGACGAACACTCCGCCCTTCTAAGATGAATACACCTGGGAGAAGGGGAGCACCGGGTAGAAAAATAGGTCAAAATCAAGGCTTTTTGAGTATAAAACTTCAACTCCTTTTCCGTTGGAGATACTGAAGGAGTTTCATAAAACATACCTGCTAATAATTGTGCATATTTACTTAACCAATAACGATATAATTGTTGACGTTTTATTTTTGATAATGACCATAAATTACTTATTTTTTTCACTTCATCATCTGTCATAATTTGTTTATTTTTATTTAATAATTGTTGTAAAAAGTTTAAATGTTTTTGATCAGTTGATGCATCAAATAAACCTTGTGCGGATGTTTCTTGTCCTTGTCGCTTTTTATTTTTATTTTTATTATGATTTGATATCTGTGCAAAATTAAAATAAACTGGGATTTCATTTTCTAATCGACGCATTTCTTCTTCATCTTCAACATCAGCAATTAAATCGTCTTCAGTAGTTAACTTTTGTTGTGTAGTGGTTATTGTTGTAATTGGTGCTGTAATATCTAAAAGGAACAAAACATTAAGTTTTGAGAAACACCTAGACAAATCACTAAATAATTTTCATACCTTTTAAAAGTGAATTGTCTTTTTTTCGTTTCTTCTTTCCAGCTCTACTATATCCATCGTTGTCCAATTCTGTAATAGTAAATGAACATAAATAGTTTTTTTTTGTTTGCAAATTCAAACTGCTGCATATTCGTACTTGTTAACACCGATCGCTCGAAGCAAGTTCGATGTATGAATTAGAGGCGCAGTACGAATATCAGAATTATGACAAAAAAGTTGTCTAACAGAAGAAAAAAAAGACTTATGAAATGATTGTAAATCTTTTTAAACTATTTTATAGTGTCTGAATATGGAAATGTAAGTTTTCAGCAGGCACAAGCTCTTAGCAGGTTTGAAGATCAGCGTTGTCGAAAACACCTTGCTTTGTAGAACGCTGCATAGCGCCGAGAAGGATCAAGTGGGATAAGTTGCCCGACTATTTTCAAAACGGGATTTTACTAAACCTTTATTATTTTCTTTTGCTTTCCGAACATAGGATAAATGAATAGCTTGTGAAAAAGCAGTTCGAGACTACATCACTGATTTTGTGCTTCTTTTTGGTAGAAAAAGTACAGTTTGTTTATGAAAGCAGAAGTTTTGCGATTTTTTGTTTGTGTAAAAAGTACATAAACGGAAAAACATGTTTCGTGGTTCTTCACCTATTTTTGTTAGAGCCTAAAACTTACCAAACGGATGCGAAAGCATATTGAAACTTCCTACTTGGACCGACCAATGCGCACCGTCTTGTCAGATTTTTGCTTTGAAGGTATTCGAACGCATACTGGAGTTCCACAAGCGATAGAAAAAAATGTTCGCTATTTTAAATTAGATCATTAAAGTTCGCAATGTTTGGTGGTCTTTTTACGAAAAAGCCTGTAAAAACTCTCAAGGCGCAAAAGGCTAATGAAAAATTGCAAAAATACTGCCAATTGACTAATCGAAACTCCAGTGTACTTTCACCAATTGACGAACACTGTTCGTCAATTGGTGAATTATTCACCAATATAACTCATGCCAATAATTCAAACGCAGTGTTTCTCAATAAAAGTCACAATTCTTTCAAACGAAAAAAGATATGACTTGCATTGAGAGACTTCCAGCAATTGGCCAACATCTAGCTAACGAAAATCCATTGGTGTATCTCCATGGTTCCTTTCGGCTGATTCCCATTTCTCTATCGTCCGTGCGGACTTCATCTATGTATACTTCCAAAAAATGAAGAATTTTTGAGTCGTCAGCAGTGGCTGAGTTCTAGTGAAACTAGAATTCTAGTGTTTCATTAGAATTTAGCAAACATCTGTACCCTAAATTCTCATGGTGTCAGCAGTGGTGGTGTTTTGATTAAACAAGATTTTAGAATAATATTTAACTAGATGCTGTTGGGTGTTGAATAATACACTAGAATTTAGGATCCTAAATTCTGTTGTGTGTTACTAAATTCTGAAGGAGATATACCTTCGTAAGGGTGTTTCATTCGGTAGAATTTAGGAGCTATTTACCCAGTTTATTTTTCATACACGAGTATATTTCCATCAGAATTTAGTGACATACACTCTAGAAAAAAATCGCAGAACTGAGGACCCTAAATTCCCGTGTATCATACATAGTAGAATTTAATGAAACAGACACCAGAATTATTTGCAGCATCGGAGAACTCGGGTGGATAAGAGTGAGGCACTAAGAAACATCACGTCAGAATTGTAACTCAGAAAGATTGCTAAATTCTGCACTTTTTCTAATTCTACTAGAATTTCTCTGTTTATATGTCAATGCTAAATTCTGCTGTAGCTATGCTAAATGCACCGATTATAGCAATGATGTTAGAGTTCGGCGCCCGTGTTTTAGAAAATAAGGTTCTTTGCTCCTTTTTCTGCTGAAGTATGCAAGAGTTACTATTCATTAAAAACAAAAGTCGAATAAATACCTTCATTTTGATCCAAATATTCATTAACAATTCCATATGTTGATGTTGCTGACATCGTAGAATCTATGAATCTTTTTTGCATTGTAAACCATTCTGTAATAATATCATTAACGATCTCGGTATCTTTTGGTGATAATTTATTTAATTTTTCACAATTTACGCGATTTTGTCTACGTTCTTCTATTTCTTCATTGGACAGTTTTTGATCACTTTGTATTGTTTTAGAAAGAGCATCTAATGGTTGATCAAATTTATGATTAATTTTAACTTGATCTAAAATAGCTGTTAGATAATCTTCAGCGTCATCCTTGTCGTCAACACTACTATCATCAGTATGATTGCTATCAACATCACTCTCTTGTTTTTCACAACAATATCTTCCTAGTGTAGGTTGATTCCAATGATACTTATATATGTCTAATTGTGTTATAATTGGTTCAATTAAATTTAAAAATTGTTCTTTATTAATAATAGTTAATAATTGTTGATAGGTTAATAATTTTTGACTACATAAACGTAATTGTTCGTTAATATGTTCAATTTTTTCTGTTATCACTCTTAATATTTCATAGGACATTGATAATTCTTCATTATAAATTTTAATTAAATCTTTTTTATCTTTACGAATATTTTGTAATAGAAATGGTTCAATTTCTGGATGTTTACTTCGTCCACCAACACGTATAATATCACCTGATGCTGGTGTTATTTGTAATTTTTGTATTATACTAGATAAAAATTGATCTAATGCATGATTCTAAAAATCATAAAAAATATGTACTGCAATTAGTCGCAAATGACTGTCAACAAAATAAAGGTATTTTGATATAGAACCTGTCCACGCAAAACGTTTCGCGGAGTGATCGAGTATAAAGAAGACTTCTTCTCTGAGATAACCCTTAAAAAATACATTGTGTTAGACGCAGTTTTTTTCTCATGCTGATGACAGAAATCAGCTTTAAAAAGAATAAAAATTTAACTATGGGCGTGACAACTTAAATTTGAATTTTCTGACTCACTTACTGTTCGATAAAACTTTAAAAGCAATTCAAAAGGATAGAGAATCAAATTTTCTGTTGTCCGACTACGAGATGTTATCTGTCAAATAAATCCTCGCAAAAGAAATATCAAAAACAGGGCAGTCCGTTTCGTTTTTATTGTTTTACTCTATTTTGTAGAAAGTATTACCAGGCATTTTCTTTTTTATCATTAGATAGAACAACTTCTTAGCTACAAGTTCTATTGCAAGAAGGTTTTTATCGGGTTTCCAGACGAACTGAACAGCAAACATTTCTTTTGTAGTAGTCGACACTCACTTCCATTTTTTGATCAGTCTATTACGCTATGTATTTTTGTTGTTCAGAATCAATGAGGAATTCAAATCCAGCGACTTGTTTACTGCAAGAGATATTCATTCTATCACTGGAAGGCTTGTCCACGTAACTCCTATGGCAGAGATGTCACAGAGGTACATTTTTTGCTCATTTTGTTTCGACTATAAGTTCGAAACTAAAAGTCGTAGAGAGTTCGCAGATGTCTTAAATTATAGAAAAAACTGTTTTTTATATTTTGCGATCTGATCAGACTCTAGGAAACCAATCTCAAAAATACTGTGGTCAAAATGCTGAGATCTACACCTTTGGTTTCAATTCTTAACAAGCAGGTCTCAGCATTTGGATTACAATTTTATAAGGATAGATTATCTAGAGTCTGAGCAGATTTCAAAATGTTGAAAATAGTTTTTTCTTTAATTTAAAACGTCTTCGAACTCTCTACGCCTTTTAGCTTCGGAGTTATAGTCAAAACAAAATGAGCAAAAAGACTAACGCTGGCAAATCTCTGCCATAGAAATTATGCGGACAAGCCGTCTACAGGGCGTTGAGGTTTCTACTGACAGGTGCTTTTATTTTTCTTGCAAAAAATCTTTAGTTCTAATTGTTTTTCTTTTACTCTCTCAAACTTTCTGATCAAAACGATCGACTTCTGTATCATAGTTGATCAAGATTTCGTTCTTTTGTCTCATCCGGCTACAATGTAGAATCGATCTAAGTATGTCACTATAAATATTACCGTATAACAAATCATTAATATTGGTTTTTGACATCCAACAATACGTTCACGATTATGATAAAGTATTTCTGTTAGTTTAACACCAATAAATGTTTTTCCAGTACCAGGTGGACCTAAATGCAAACAGATATAGTATTAACTACAACACAAAAATTTATTTTCGTAATCCCTAAGTAGATAAATTAACAAAAGGATGAAGATAGGAACATGTTAGAAATAAAAAGCATTTCTCACATTTAAAAAGCGGAAATTTTGAGATGGGGAAAACTTTTGTGCTCGTTCATGTATCAAAACTAGGACAGCGACAGATATATGTCTACTTCTTTTTATACCACTTCGACCTATACGCTTAGTAGCTTCATTTTACGTATCCCTGCTGAATCATAGATTCATGTCTGTAACGTACGATAAAAGGTACCACATGTTGTCTAGCAACTTAGAAACACAAAAGCAGTTATGACCTAGTACAGACCAGAGCTCCGTATGGACTCAAATTTTTGAGTCCAGTTCAGTCCATGGACTAAAAGGGTCTAGTCCAGTCCAGTCCACATGGACTCAGTTCAGTCCATACGGAGCTCTGGTACAGACAGAGGCTTGTCTCAACGCATGCGAGACGTGATATCGGACTTCAGCTTTTCGCCATCTCGTCTACGCTGACAACCTTTCTTCTAATAACGATTGGAAATTGAGGATGTTATGTGTAGTTTTCATAAAAAGACAAAAATTTATCTTTCTACCGTGTTCCGCGACGGCTAAGAAGCTCTAGTTCCAAGGCTATTCCATTTTTGTGTAACCTGACAGATGATGAACAATTCGAGCTAATTTCAACTCTGAATGAAGGCAAATTCTAGATTAACTTTGGTGTTTAAGTACGGATAAGATAGTAGCTGAATTCAACTTCTAATACGCTTTCTGAAATCTGCAGATTCATTAATCTCTCCTAATCAGAGAAAAATAGTGCTCAAATAAGATTTTTCAAGATATAAAAAGATAGATACCAAAAGAGACATGCAACGTTAACGGTAATTTACCGTTGTACCATCTCTTATCGGTAACCGTTCTTTACCGGTTGCAGTTGTGTTGTTTAAAAACATTTTAACGCATATTTTCTCCTTGAAGAAAACATTTTTGAGGGTTATGGATAGAACATAAAGTATAGCAAACTGTTTTTTCTAATTTTTTTCTCCTTGACCAAATTTCTACAGATCGATCTTCGTCGTAAAATACAGTAAATATCGTTTTCTCCCTGAAGAACGATTTGCATAAATCTGGATCTGGCAGATAGAATCTAGGGAATTGTATCTGCTACATTTTCCTCTCGTGTCTCAATTTTAAGATATTCTTCCTTCATGGTTGAAACTGTGAAAAATTAGCCCAAAAGGTGGTATTTTCGACAATTTACTATGAATGATGAATTTCTTAAATTGAGACACGAGAGGACAATGTAGCAAATACAATTCCCTAAATTCTATCTGCTAGATCCAACTTTATGCAAAGCGACCTTAAGGCCGCGCCCCGGGTTAAAAATGTCGATTTTCGTCAAAAGTATTGATTTTAAGAAATGCACATAGTTGGATAGCCCAAAGTGTCTACTTTCCAATGGTATAACTTTTTCCTATGTCGATAGGATAGGTTTTTCATAGCTTTTGAGCGAGATTTCCAGAAGCCCTATTGCAAAAGAAATGAATTTTTTGCACCTATATTGCAAAAACCCCGCACATGACCACGCATATGTTCATTAGATCCGCCATGGCCGATAACTCCTAGCAAAATATCAACAAATTGTTTAACGCTCAAACAGTTTTTAAGTAAAGCGCATTGGACAGAATGAAAAATTATTTAGGGCTAAAATTAGGGCTCAAGGGAGAAAACGATACTTACTGTTCTTTTACCATGAAGACCGATCTGTAGAAATTTGGTCCCAGCAGAAAAAATTGGAAAAATTAGTTTACTATATTTTATGTTCTAGCCACAACTCTCAAAAATGTTTTCTTCAAGGAGGAAATATGGGTGACACTTAAGATCAACAAATTTTGACTTTTCGCTAGTTCTAACAATTAATTATTCAAGAAATCTCACAAACTCTTGTCGCGCCCATTTGGTAGTGGGACGTCAAAAAGGCTCTTCAATTCAAAAGATTTCTTGCGAATTCTTTAAATACTCGATCCAAGCAAATGCGTCATAATTTCTTCTTTTTAAATGTTATTTAGTTTCAATAAGGTATTAATTATCTACGTACCTTGTATTAATGCTACAGCACTTGTTAAAGCTAAATGTAAAGCTTCATATTGTGAATTATCAAGTTCTAATTGTTTTGCTGTTGGCCATGTTGAAATATCTTTAATATTACTAATAGATCGATCAAAATCACTATGATTATTATCAACAATTTTTGTAAAGTCAATTAAAGAATTATTTTCAAAATATTTTGGTAACGATATATCTGTTTTACATTCTAATAAATATTCTCCTAATGGTATCTGATCATCTTTAATATTTTGTAATGCTTGTAATACCGGTCGATATGCTTTTCAAAAAGAAAAAAACCCAATGATCTTATTGATAAGACAACTGATGAGAAGCTATTTTACCTTCAAAATAAGCTGTTGTTTCAAGTATTGTTAATTTTGTTCCAACCGGTATTTTCATCATTGATTGATCACATAATTCTTTTTGACATCGTACATAAATACATCCATCATGATCAATATTTGAACGATCTTCAACACTTAATAAAAAACAGCTCTTATCAAAATCATCATAACTACATACTAATAAATTTCCATATATTAAACGTCGTGAATGGGACCAATTAATTGATTTTGATAGTGCTTGTAAATCAATAATAATAGAAAATAGAATACCGGTTGATGCACATAAACATCCAGATAATATAGCATTTTCATATAATCGTACATTTGAATTATAAAATGATGTACTATCACTATCACCATTAATATATTCATTAATTGCTTCACGTAACGGAGATAAAAAGTCTTCACGTAACAAACGAAAATGTATGTCTAAATAATGTGTACCATTTTTATATGTACCATGTGTAATATTTCGTCTTAAATAAACATCTTGATTTTGAAATATTTCATCCAATGTTGGATAAATAGACAATTGATGAAAATCATCGGGTGGTTCATCATCACGATTAAAACGAGATTGTTTCTCTGTATGTTCTGATACTAATTTTTCTTGATCCTGACGTAATTTGTCAACTAAACTAATTAACTTTATGATATTAAATTGAACTTCTTCATCCTAAACAAGAAAAAACATGCTAAAATTTGTGGAAAATGCCTCACGATTCAAAAAGTGCATCGGCACAGTCAATGGGATATAGCTCTGTCTACCGGTGTGATCGTACTTCGCAGAAAATAATTGTTTAGAAAACAGACTAAAATTACCGCACGAACTAAAGTTTCGACTACCTGTAGCCAAGGACCACATGGCTGACACTGATTTTTTCCATTGCAGAGTTAATTTCAGTCAATTAAACTTTGACCTCGCTAAGCACCATCTAGTTAAAGAATGTATGTCTACATGTGGGTTTTTCCACGAAACCGTTTCTCACTTCTTTCTTACCTATTCTCTTTTCACTACGGAAAGATCTCCGATGTTAAATATCTTCAAGATGGTGTTAAAGTTCAACATCATCCAGTTAAACCATATTCTCTTTAAGGATCTAATTTTTTCTCTTGTAAATAAACGTGACTTATTCATATTAGATAATAGTGCATTAGACCTCATAAAAACGACAAAATGTGATGTGGTTGTACTCGATTTCTTTTATTGTTCTGTAATAGATACGCTCAGGTTGAAATTGATAGAGATCCGTTGAAAACATTCTAATGTGATAGTAAAGTCCTTAGAACTTACTCTCCCTTCTCCTACATTAGTTTGCCGTTCTTTCTCTAATATATTATCAACTGTTTTTCACTTCTCTTTTCAGCAATTTAACTGTATTTCTTTATTGATCGAATTGTTACAACATGTAATGAGCATAGCTCGATTTGTTGTTTTAATAAAGCTAGTTTAAACTAATAATTGTTTTTTTCCGGAAAAATGTTTAGTTTCTTTATCTCGTCAACTTCTGTATCATAGTTATCTGTAGCTTTCTTTTGTCTCTTCGTTAACGACGATATAACACGCGACCTCGGGAAGCCATTATAAGTGAGTGTTGGTTGACATATCTACTTAAACGGAACACAATTCATTCTTTAGACTGATCATGAGGTCAGACTACGTATTATCGATTTAAGTGTCAGCATAAAAAAAGCAAGGCGAGGAAAGGAAAACCGTTAAATCTCCTGAGAAAGAACGCAACATTTAGAGCACACAAAGGAAAAGGAAATAAAAATTGGACAATAGTAAACTAGACAAAAACTGAGCTTGAATGCGGAATGTTACGTCTCTTTTCTTACTTTATCCGAGGAAAAGTAAATAAACATGGTGCCCCGCCCCCCTAATTATGCGAGATTGCGGTCGTGCACAATTTGCGTTCGCTGCGAACTCATTTTTCTGTAACTTTTGTTTTGCCAGGCATCTTAGATATTTAGTGTAACTAGGATATCTTAGAAATTCAGGATATCGTGCAATTACTTTTCAAGCTCATTTTCAGCCGCATCTCTCCCATTCCCGCCGCGTACGAATAATCCTGTACAGGTGTCTAGTACATATATATAGAATATAATTCGCTGCGAACTAAAGAGATGACTACTGTATTTGAATTCGCAGCGAACTGATATTGTGCATAGTAGAGATGCAACCGTAACGGTTGACAATCAGTTAACCGCTACCGCTCTAACCGGTTTAACCGTTACCGGTTCTGACCGGTTACCGTTACCGATCCAACCGGTTCTGTGAGTGACGTGAGTTCTTAAGTTGTTTTGAGTTACACTGATTGTTCCATGTTAAAAGATGTGTTTCTTCAACATTATGTTGATTAACAGAGAACCGTGATTAAAGAAACATTCATTGTATGTTTTGAATTGTATAGCAAATATTTTTGTTGTTTTTCAAGTTTATTGCTTTACATGTTGACTATTATATGAAGCAAATTCTTGGTATGGAAGCAATAATTTGCTCTCCAAGAAGAAGTTATTCAAAAAAACATCTAATAAAAAATTTCGTATCAAAGGAGAAGAGGCAAAAAATAACATGCACATGTATAGCTCTGACCATGGCTTTTCAGAAGGTCCAGTTTCAGAAAACCGGTCAATAAAAGCCTAAGGACAACTCCAATGTTCACATTTGAAATTAGCGTCATCAATTACATATAACCCATTTAATTTCATTGAAAAAGCATTTTTTCAATTTTGGGGCCCTTCTCGTAAGTTAAAATGCAAATAACGAAAGAAGATGTAGTTGAGTAGAAAATAACAATGATACATACTTGACAATTATCTGATATTATTTTAAGTCGATCAAATATTCCCGACGATTCAAGTTCTTGTCGACAAATGGGATTTATTTCTAATAAAAATAAAAGCATATTGTTTATATATTCTAAATAATCATATTTTACTAATGTTGTTGTTGTTATTTTGGATGTGTTTGTTAATGATTTTAAGTAATCATAAATATATGTTAATAATTTTGATCCTGGTAATTTAATAACTAATTTAACTAAATTTTGACGTTGATTTGATGATGAGAATTGTATTCTATTTAAAAATTTTAAAAATTTTTCGATTAATAAAACATTATTTCCCATTTGCTCATTTGTAAATAAATAATTAATTAATTTTGGTTTTTGAAATAATTGTGTTAATGCAACATGTATTTGTTGTTCATTTAGTAATGTATCCAAATAGACGGATATATCAATGTTATCATCATTTCTAAAGAAGAAACACATATAAAATTGTTAAATTTCATATTTAACAATAAACAATAACTTACCCCGTAACACATGTTTCATCATTTTTTGAAGCCATGCGGATTTCGTTATTGTTGAGATATCGAATCGATATTTAATTACTGTATCATATCAATTAAAAACAAAGAAAGCGCTAAAATACAGAAGAACAAATGAAAGTTGGTTTGAAAAGAGTAGGCAAAATTTTCATCTCGAAAATGGAAAGATCTATCTTGTCCTGCAGCATATGACACGCACAATTCTATCCGAACAACGGAAATAAAACATCATGCATTTCCGAAAAGAAAAGTAGTTCGTCCCTGATAATTAAATGAGGAAAAAAGCTTAAAATAAATTATTTTCATCGGTGAATTAAAACCAATGGCAACGTGCGATGTACATCACTCTCTCACAAAGATCGGTGCTCACCACAAAAATATTGTAAATGTGATAATACTCTTAGTATAATGTGCAATTTTCAGTAAAAATTCACAATTGATACCAAAGAAGG